GAGGAGGATTCTGTCTTTTTGTGAGACCTTACTACATTCCTATTTCATTATTATTTTTTACAATTTGTCTAGGAAATTTATCAGACATTATTACCATACCGATATTAGGAAGAAAGGAAGAAAGCAGGAAAGGAAAGAAGCAGATTGTTACACATCTTCCAACCATATGGTTGGTTGCTTCTGGCTGTTATTTTTGGTTTGGTAATCTGTTGTTACTTCAATCCATAGTAAATTATTCTTTTATTATTTAATAGTGACAAAGCAGGAAGGAACTGACAGATTAATCTGTACCAGCTAAGCCTAAGCAGCGTACAGAGCTCCAACATAAATTCAAGGGAAAAAAGATTGCTACTTTTAGTAGGAATGTTATGGATTTGTTTAGGCTTCTTATATATTCAAAAGATCAATCTTTGCATTTGAATCTTGTACAGGTAGCCCTCAACTTACGACCACAATTGAGTCCAAAATGTATGTACTAAGTGAGAAACTTAAGTGAGCTTTTTTACGACTTTTCCTGCCACTGTTGTTAAGTGAATCACTGCAGTTAGTAACCCAGTTGTTAAGTGAATCTGGCTTCCCCGTTGCCTTTGCTTGTCAGAAGGTTACAAAGGAGGATCACATGACCCAGAAAACTGTGACCGTAATAAATGTGAGTCAGTTGTCAAGCATCCAAATGTAAATCATGTGGCCATAGGAATGCTGAAACGGTCATAAGTGTGAAAAAATGTCATAACTCACTTTTTTCAGTGCCTTTGTAACTTTGAACGGTCACTAAGTGAACTGTTGTAAGTCGAGGACTACCTCTACTAAATAACCAAACTACATGATTTAAGTACAAGTTATCCATTGGACAATATGAAAACCCAGGGAAGGAAGGATATTTTCCCCTCCTGTTCAATGGCAGAGTTCAACCTCAATGCTTCTCTTTGCTAAAATCAGAGATAATTCTATTACATGTACAATACCCACAGGCAATCACACATAAATCTAGTACTTGTCTTTATTTATTTATATGTTGCTTTTAGTTCTAGCAGCTCGGCGAAAGCCGCCCGAGTCAGCAGCGAGTTGCAGTCTTTGTACCGATATGAAGGGCGTGAAGGGTGCTCAGCTTCTGCACAGAAAAGCCATGAGTGTCATCCGTGCGCCTGCAGGAAGCGCCAATCCTTCTTGGCCGGGACCCTACTAGACGCGAATTGCCTCTCAAAGAGCAGAAATATGGTTGCCAGAGCACCCGAAAGCAGCAAAGGCACTAGGTGGAAAAGATCGAGATCCCACGGAGATGCCCAAAGTGCGGAGTGCGCAAAACACAAGGCAGCATCTTCGCCTCTCTTCCCGGGCGCGTCTCTGCGCTGCTTCTGCAGCTTCCCATCTCTTTCTAGAGATGGGACGCTCTCCGTTGACTAGCGGCTCTTCTTCGCTTGTTCCCCTGTCGAGAGGCGCACCCCTCTTCCTCGTGCAAATCACGCAGCACAACTTTTCTCTTCCTTTCCTATCGCTCCATGATCCCGGCCGCTCGAAAAGTTCGCCATCCTTTCCTGTCTATTCGGGCCTCTAGCCACTCGTGCTTGTCAGCTTTGTGATCCACCCAGTAGTGAGGTTGCCATCTCGAATAGAGGCATCACACTCTCGCTCTTGCTCGCTCTAAAGTTTTCGTGGACCAAAATAAAAAGACCCTCCTGCCGGAAGAAAGCCAGCCTTCTCTTGCCTTAAAATTCTTATAGAGTTTTAGTAAAGAAGGTTGGAATGAAAATATACTGGTGTGAGTTTTAGTGTGCAGAAAGTCAACCCTTTCATAAAAGGTTAGAGGGAAAACCGTTGCAAGAAAGCAAAGTTGATGCCCTAAACCAGTGATGGCTAACCTTTTTGCTGTTGCGTGCCAAAAGTGGGGGGAGTGCGGGGGGTCGCGCATGTGTGTGCCCACACCCATAATTCAATTCCCCCCATGACCTGCCCCTCCACATGCATGTGTGACCCCCACTTTGCGATCCCTCCACTTTTGGCACGCAACAGCAAAAAGGTTACTGGTGGGCCCGGTAGACCTGTTTTTCACCCTCCCCAGACTCCAGAGGCTTTCTTGGAGCCTGGGGAGGGCAAAAACAGCCTTCCCAACCCACCTGGAGGTCCTCTGGAGGCTGGAAACGGCCCATTTCCTGAGTTCCAGTGGGCCCGGAAGGCCCGAAAATCAGTTGGCTGGCACGCTGGAGCTGAGCTAGGGCAACACTTGTGTGCCCATAGATATGGCTCCGAGTGCCACCTGTGGCACACGTGCCATAGGTTCGCCATCCCGGCCCTAAACAGATGCTTTTTTCATAAAAAGTGAGGTTAAAGTAAGCAGAATCACAAAAGTAAAACGTTGAGATCCAGTTTTAGGCTCTGTTTAAAGCAAGTGTGTGAGCTCATCCCTACATTATGTGGCCTTGCTCTTTGGAAAGGACCTGCATTCACCCTATCACTTCTTTCATGCCCAACCCCATTTAATATGGACTAATGATTAAAACATTTCTCAAAAACATGATTCCCAGCCTCTAGAGCAAGAAGTGTTGAGTGTTGTCTGTCTATCTCTGTGTCTGTGTGTGTGTGTACATGCAAGTAATAGTAATAGTGAGAAGTTTCAGGATGCAGTACTCTTTTTTCTTAGCCCAGTCTCGGAAGAGAAGACACACAGAGATAGGTCATTTTATTAAGTACTCAGTATCTTGAATGGGGGCGGGAGGGGGCTCTGAACAATTATAAAGTTTCTTTCCTTCCCCTTTTAAAATGCAGTTTATTTATTATTTATTTATTTATTTATTTATTTATTTATTTATTTATTAGTCATATTTCTATGCAGCCCACTCTCCGAGGACACTAGGCGGCTTACACCAAAGACAGTATACTAAATAGTATATTGCCCCCTAACAATCTGGGTCCTCATTTTACCCACCTCGGAAGGATGGAAGGCTGAGTCAACCTTGAGCCGATGAGATTTGATCCGCTGATCTGCTGAATTAGCAGTCAGCTGAAGTAGCTGCAGTACTGCATTCTAATCAATGTGCCACCTCGGCTCTAAGTATCAGTTGATACTTCCTTTCTTCACTTTCCCCTAAATGACAGTAAAACCAGGGTAGAGAAGAATTACTGACAGATCCAGACCAAAAAAGCCCCACTCAACTTCCACTTCCAGTGTTGCAGTTTCAAATCTAGAGCCCACAGATTTGGAAATTATGGGAGGGGTTTCTCATCTTGACAGGCCTGTTGGCCTTAGCTTTCCTCCTAATTGTGTGACATTTCCATGAAATTGTAGATTTCAAAAGGAAGAGGTACCCAAGATTTTGTCTCAAAATAGAAATAAAATGCTGCCTTGATTCTCTTTGTGAAAGGAAAACCTGGCAGACTTTCATGATTCCATTATGTGTTATACCATACAAAAATAAAGTGATTTTCTGGAATCCTTGCAGGCCTGTTGCCTGATCTGGCCTGCCTTGAAGGGCAGAGGAAGCACATTTTCGACTCCTCCCAAGGCAAAGAAAGGAAGAAAGCATATCAGCATAGCTTCAGAAAGAACCCAATGAATATTCCAAGTGATTTTATTTATTTGAATGAATTCCCAATTTATTATTTTTTATTATCACAGAAACATAAAAAACCTACAGCAGAAAAGGACCTCATGATCCTTTGAGTCTGCCCTTTGAGCTTGTGGTTGTTGTTTTTGTTTTCTGTTTAATTAATTAATTTATTGTTTTAATTATTATTTTTAACTTATTTTATTTTTTAATTTTTATTGGATGAAGGACATGCTTACTCTAAGTATGTTTAAACTAAGTTATTGATAATTCACCGACTACCTCCATTGGTAATTGGTTCCACGTTTTCACTACTTTCTCGCAATTTCAACAATCCCACTAAGTCAGAAACTCGTCACTGTAACTTTTGAGCAGAAAAGCCCCCTACATCTTAGCTTCTAAACAGATTGAACATCTTCAAGGTGGGACGGAGAGGTTTTTTTTAATATGAAAGACAACTAGAGAGAAAGGAGAAGGTAAAACTTGAAAACTTTTTTCAAGAAACACTTGGCTAGATACAATTCCATACTCATTTCCTGCTTTAAAAAATGAAATATACCTTCTGTATCTTTTTTTTCTGCTAAAACCTTTGAGATTGGGATTCCTCTCTGCACAATATGTAAGGCTCATTTTGTGTTTGAAAAAAGCCACCTTGCAAAGGTATAGTGTTTTTTCTCCACTCTTTCTGAATAAAAGTAATTTTGACAACAGAAATATTTATACCAATATTTCTTAACTTTTCTCTTTTTTTAATATAGTAAATATTTTTTAAATATTTACCACATTAAAAATTAAAATTGATGCATTTAATGCCACTTCTCAAAATTGATTTGATTGTATTTTAATGTTATATTATTTTGCAACAGACTGACAAATCATTTTAATTTCACAGACCCCTGAAAAAGGGCCATGAGGAACACCGCACATCTTAGGGCACATTTTAAGAAATACTGCTTTATACTATCCATGGAGATTTTCACTCATCCAGGTCATGGTTGTCCCAAAGGTGCTCCCCACCCCCTTCAAGAGGCAAGTGGCCTTTCTGGTTTTTCCTTGAAGACTTTCCGCTTCTCATCCAAAAAACCTTCTTCTTGGATGAGAAGTGAAATAAATGTCTTCAAAGAAAAACCAGAAAGGCCACTTGCCTCTTGAAGGGGGGGGGAGAGCACCTGTGGGACTGCTTTTTATACTGCAGCCAGGACAAAACATTATTCTTAATTGTGATTGTCCTACAATCAGTGTCACTGAAGTATGAATTTTTTTTCTAGAAGAACGGAGGAGCAGAAGTTAAGATTCCCTTGCCTGGGGAATTTAAACCTACAAGGTATTTGTACAAGAACTGCCTAAGCAGGGAGCGGAGAGAGAGCTACAGGCTCCTTCTCTCTCTCCAAAGGGCCTCGGCTGAGGAAGCCGCCCCGCGTATTCAGGAGCGCGAGGGCAGCCGCGCCGAATGGAATGCGCTCAGGTCCTGCGAATAACGGTCGCTCAAGCCAGAGTTCGATCGCGCCCGGGCCCTGTGACGAGAAGACCGAGGTGGCGATGGCGATTCGCTCCTACCGCACCGACTGCCTCCAGGAGCCCCTCTCGCGAGCGGTCCGCGCCTTAGGTGCCTCCGTGGGCACCCATCCGTGGCCTTACCTCCTGGTGCCTTTGGTGGTTTCGGCCGCCCTCTCAATCGGCTTCATCTTCTTACCCAGCCGCCAACCGAACGACCTGGAGGAGCAATTCACGCCCATCGAAGGCCCCGCCAAAATGGAGCGAAGTTTCGTGCAGAACTACTTCCACACCGACGACGCCCATCACTTCTCCCCGGAAAGACTGAGCACCGAGGGCGCTTATGCCACTTTAATCGCCGTGACCACCCGACACGACTCGGTGCTGACGAAGGCGGCTTTCGCCGAGCTCATGAAAATAGACCGGGCGGTGCGCGGCATCCAGGCGGCGGGGCTCTCCTTCGACCGACTTTGCGCGCGTAACAACGGCTACTGCCTCAGCCCCAACCCGCTCCTGAGCCTCGTGCACGACAACCCGGCCTACATCGAGGTGTTGCTGCCCAATTTAACCTTCCCGGTTTTCCGCGACCGGGTGTTCCTGGGCTTCTTCGTGGGGGGCGTCACGCTGGGCCGGGGCGATGAGCCTGCGCGCCCACTTCTGGCGGCCCAAGCGGTGCGCCTCATCTACTTCCTTCAGGAGGATAACACCACGAAACGGGAGGCCAGCACCGTCTGGCTGGAGGCCTTTCTGGAGCGTATCCCCCTAATGCTGGGCGCCCTGAACCTTACCGTCCTCGAGGTAGGCTTCAATTAGGAAATGTCATTTTCAAAATTTCATACATTTCAAACGAAACCTGCCTTTTTTTTTTTTTAGTATAGGGCAGGTTATGGAAAACACTAACAGTTCCTAAGCAATATTCTTTTAAAGCTCCCTTGCCTACAGCATCACTTTCATACAACAGTTCTGTAAACTTCTCACCTCAGTTTCTGAGGAACTCTTGCAAAGTTTCTTGTCCTTTCCAGCCATTCACTTGACTTGCTTTGGCCTACTCACTTTTTCTTCCTGTTCTTTTTTATAGTTCTATTCCATTTATTGTCCCTGTATAATTAAATCATCTCAGCATCCATTTCTTTAAAGCTGGAGAGCAACTTCTCATACTGATAGGAATGTTGCTTACCAGATAGTAAAGAGATGTAAAGTAATAGTAAAGAGAATGTTGTTTATCCAAATAGTAAAGAGATCTATACTGCTTCTCCTTCAAAAGAAGACAGACTTCCACTCCTGCATACCTGATCAATATATGAAACTTTATCAAAGCATTCCTGATAGAGTATACCTACTCCTGAATATATTCAACAGCAACATCCTTGTTATATTCTCAGTTTAATGTCATATATTCACTATTCCATTTAATCTTAAGCATTCTATTAATTTGAAAATTAATTTAATGCCTTATTTTCATAATTCCAGCATTCAGTGACCAAACAAAGTTCTATTTATACAAGTGTTGGAAACTTAGAATATCATAGTTGGAAGGGACCTTGGAAGTCTTCTAATCTAATCCCCTGCTCAAGCAGGAGATCGTATACTATTTCATAGATATGACTGTCCAGTCTCTTCTTAAAAGCCTCCAGTGATGGAGCACCCACAATTTCAGAAGGCAAGCCATTCTACTGGTTACTTGTTCTCCCTGTCAGAAAATTTCTCCTTAGTTCTAGGTTGGATCTATCTTTGATTAGTTCCCATCCATTGTTTCTTATCTTGCTTTGGAATGCTTTGGGAAATAGATTGATTCCATTTTCTTTGTGATAGCCCTTCAAATATTGGAATACTTCTATCATGTCACCCTAGTCCTTCTTTTCACTAGACTAGACAAACCCGATTTCAAGTGAGGTCTCACTAAGGATTTGTAAAGTGATACTAGTACTTCACATGATCTTTATTCTATTCCTATGTTAATACATTCTAGGATCCTAGAGCTGAAGAAGCTTCTTGGATGAAGTGAAACGTCTTCAAAGAAAAACAAGAAAGTCCAGTTGCCTCTTGAAAAATACACCTTTGGGACATCCTAGGATTGCATTGGCTTTTTTGGTTGCTGCTGCACACTGCTAGCTCATATTTAAATGACTGTCCACTACGACTCCAAGATCCCTCTTGCAGTTATTACTATTGAGCCAGGTTTCACCTAATCTGTACTTGTACTTTTGGTTTTTCTTTCCTAAGTGTAAGACCTTACTTTTCTCTACCTTGAATTTCATTTTGTTGGATAGGGCGCAGTGTTCAAGTCTGTCAAGAGCCATTTGGATCTTGAGCCTATTATCTAGGATGGGGTGTTGCTATTCCTGCCAGCTTAGTGTTGCCTGCAAATTGATGTTCCCCTTCTATTCCCTCATCTAAATTATTTATGAAGATATTGAAGAGTACTAGACCTAAAACAGAACCTGCTCCACTGCTTACTTTCCTCCATGTAGATGTAATTCCAGTATGGAATACATGTTGAGTGTGATGCTGTTGGTGATACTGTCTATCCCACATTTTTCTAGCTTACCAAGAAGGAGCTTTGGTCTGAAATCCAAGTATACTATGTCCACTGCATTTCGCTGGTCCATTAATTTAGTCACTTTGTCAAATAATGAAATAAGATGTATTTGGCAAACTCATGTGGGCTTCTGGTTATAATTTGACTGCTTCTAGGTTTTCACAGATCTGTTGCTTGATTATCTTTTCCAGGATCTTTCCAGGTATTGATGTCAGGCTGATTGGGTTGTAGTTTCATGGGTCTGGTTTTTTCCCCTTTTTGAATGTTCCATCATTCAGTCTATATATGCTTCATTTAAACTTTCTCACATTCATATATTTCTCAATGAGCTGCTGAAAGCCAACATCTGTACATCTCTTGACTGACCTAATGCTATAGAGCAGGGCAGGGGTGAAATGTAAAATTTGTTACTACCGGTTCTGTGGGCGTGGCTTGGTTGGGGGGGGTAATGTGATGGTGGGCGTGGCCAACTTTTTTTTTTTTTTAACTTTTCAAAGCATTTTTTTCTAATTTGAAAAGCCTCTGCCAATCAGGCAACTCAGCTGGGATTGTCAGAGAGGCTTTTTAAAAAATGCCTCTCTGCCGATCAGGCAACTCAGCTGGGATCGTCAGAGACTTTTCAAAACATTTTTTTTACTACCTCTTCGGCCAAGAGGTTGCAGAAAAAAATCTTTGAAAAGCCTCTGATGATCCCAGCTGAGCTGCGCGATCATCAGAGGCTTTTTTTATCAAGAGGACTATTTAACTTACATATAGTAGGCAGAAGTAATAAAGAGTGAGGAAGAGAAAAGAGCCGCAATCAAGACAAAAAGAAAATAGGTCAGTAACTTTAGGCTAGCCATTTTCTCATAGCCTAAACTGCCTCACTGGATTGTTGATGCAGAGAAAAATAAGACTGAGTGCTATGTATGCCATCTTGAACTCCTGAATAAAAGAAGAATGTGTATGCATGAAAACTCATGCAGATAGTCCTCAAATTATGACTGTTCTTTTAACAAAGATTTGAAGTTATAATGGACTTAGAAAATGTGACTTATGACCTACCGTCAAACTTGTATCGTCAAACTTGTATCCGTCACATCACACATACCCCACACAGTCATGTGATCGCAATTCAGGTACTTTTCAACCAATTTGAATTTACAGTCGTTGCAGCATCTTGTGGCCATCCAACAAGCAAAATCAATTGAGAAAGCTGGATTCACTTAACCATTGTGGTAATTTGTTTACAAGAAAATGGTCATAAAATTATGGTCCATAAAATGGTCCAGTCATGTGATGACTCACTTAACAACTATAACACTTAGCACTACCAATTCCAGTCCAAGTTGTGGCCATAAATTGAGGACTACCTGTATGCTTAAACCATATTTTCCAAATGAGCTTTTTTTCTATGCAGATAATTTACCAATCACCATCCTCATTCATTCTTAGACTTCCAAATAGCCCAGTCATTTCTTTTGTGTTTTCTTATCTTCACTAATGTCATTTAAGAGAATACAATTTCTCCCAATACATTAACTCTAAGTGTCATCCAGGATTTACTAATGTTCAATCCAAATCCTTTCATTTTCACTATTTGCTAAAGCATAACTGTAACTGTCATCTGTCTGTGCACAATAATCTGGATGACATCAATTCATACTTTCTGATTTAAAAGTTAGCTCTTTTATTCATAATTAAATTTATATCATCATTTCTATATCTACATTAATTTCTATCTACAGCAACTTCATCAGCTTCATTTTGCAGGATTTAACTATCCTCATTTATCTGTTATATCCACCTGTCTTGGTTTCACAAACATGTATTACTTTTCTTACCATTGTTTCATTGTTAATTCACAGATATATTTATTCATGGGGATATTTATTTACCTTATATTCCAAATCGCAATCTTTCATATGTCATGGTCATCACCAAATATACTTATGGATATTGACTTCTACTGTCCATTATAGATTTGGTCACTTGAGCCATTCAGACAATATTTTTTAGTATTATGAAGAGGGCATAGAGTAGATCACCACTATTATTCACACTTGTGCCACATGTAACCAGTTCCTGCTAATGGAATGGAAATTACTAGCCATTAATTTAATTAAAATACAATTATCGTATTTTAGCCATTATATCCTTAGCTCTGCCAAATCCAGTTTTTTTTCTCAAGTATGTTCATATTTTATGCAGGCTAGGAACTCTAATTTAGAGACTATTTTGTGATTCAGCATACATGCCACTTACTAGGAAAACATACTCAGGAAATGAGGCAATATCAGAATAACTTACAGTATACAGAATGTTTTAAATATTACAGTATTACAGGCATTTTTTGCTTTAGAATTTATAGGTAGACCTTAATTTAATGATCATTTGTTCAACAATCATTTAAAGTTAAAACGGAGATGAAGAAGTGGTGGACTCTGACACTCCCACAATCATGTGATTGTGATCTTACTACCAGTTGCAATGCTCTACAATCACGTGATTGCCACTTGTGACCTTCCCTTCTGGCTTCTCTAGAAAACCAATGGGGAAGAGAACTGGGAATTAGTTTGGTAAGGCTTTCCCATCACACAGCCTTCCCAGCCCTTCTGACACTGTGCCACATTGGCCCATCAGACACCTTTGTGCAACCTTGCCACTCCTCCCTTTCAGACTCCCCGATTCTTGCCATGCCACCCTTGGGCACCCTCTCTAACTCTTGCCCTGTCTTCTATATACCTTCCACACCTTCCGGGAGACTTGCCACACCTCCCTCACATCTTCACATATTTCCTACACACCTTCCCCAAGTCTTGTCACATCTACCTTGTGTACTTTCTTTGACCCTTGCTGTTCTTCCCACTAATCCTTCCCAGCCTCACTGCATGCTCTGTTCGCTCTTGCACAATGTTCCCAAGTTTCGCTGCATCTCTCTTGCACCCTCATGTGTTCTCTCCAGCCCTTCCTGTGCCCATCTCAATACCCTAATGCAGCCTCCCCAAATTTTGTCATACCTTCTGTGCACCTTCCCTAGCCTTTTCCACATGCAGCCCTTACCTGGCAGCAAGCTACTTGAGACTTGCAACTTCCTGCCATTTTCTCCCCAACCAAGATGCTTTACAGCCTCATCATTTTGAGATGAAAATTCCATTCCAGTTGTTGTTGTAAGTCAAGGACTACTTGTAAAAATTTCCATTAACTTGTCTTTGTAATATGTTAAAGCATACAAAAACTGGATAATAATGAATTATATTTTTATCTCAGCCTATTTTTAAATAGATAATTAAAATACATTTTAAGGTAAAATAATTGAAAGATTATCTTCTTCCTTCTCTCTCTCTCTCTCTCCTTCCCCCTTTAACCTGACAGGTAGCCTATTTTACCTCACTGTCAAGACAGAATGAATTTGAAAACCTTGCTAAGGGTGTGATCCCATTGGTCTCCATCGCATATCTTTTAACGATAGTATTCTCAATTATTTCATGTACAAGGTAAATTTTCCCTCTCACCCATTCTTATTATCTAACTTTATATATTTTTCTTATAGAATAAAAAGTTTTCATATTCCAAAAGGTATATCTACATACCAACATACACATGTGGCAAGATAGGCAGCAAATAAATGTAACAAATAAATAAATATACATATACATCAAATTATATTACTGTAGGTAATCAGTTATATTAAAAAAAAAGGAAATGTAAAAATATCAAACTATACTTGCTTTGGGAGAAAAGAACACACTTTCCATTAACATTTTTCAATAGTAGAGGTAGACCTTGACTTACAATAATAATTGAGCCTGGAATAATGGACATAAATTGAGGCATCACATGAAGAAACCCAATTTTTTTTTGACATTTTTTGCTGCAGTCACTAAGTGAACATCATGTTTGTTAAGTGAACATGTTAGTTATTAAGCAAATGCTGCAGTTATTAAGCAAATCAGTTTTCTCCAGTGAGTGATTTTTTGCCAGAAACTGGAAATAAACATTGGAAACCAGAAAAATGTGTCGTAAATTGCAGTCACATGACTGCGGGATGTTATAAACAATCATAAGGGTGAGCTGTTGCTAAGCTCCCAAAATACAATCACGTAACTGTAGGGGAGAAAGGATGCACTATCATAATTTTAAAACAGGTCATAAGGACTTTTTGGAGGTCCCTCATAACTTTAAATGGTCATTAAGTGGGCCTTGGTAGTACAGTGGTCTAAGGCACCCTGTTATTAAGCTGGTTATTAAGACCAGCTGCCTGCAATTACTGCAGGTTTGAATCTCGCCAAGGCTCAAGGTTGACTCAGCCTTCCATCCTTTCTAAGGTAGATAAATTGAGGACCCAGTTGTGGGGGCAATAAGCTGACTTTGTATAAATATACAAAAGGATGAAGGCTATTGCTGAGCACATTATAAGCCGCCCTGAGTCTCCGGAGAAGGGCAGCATATAAATAAAAAAAAAAAAAAAGTGACCAGTTATAAGTCATGAACTACCTGTATGGCTAATAAAAAATGTCCTGCCAATACAATCTAATATGCTGCATGACTACTTAGAAATAAAGTCAGTTAGAAATAGACTTCAATATGCAGGTAGTTCTAAACTTACAACCACAATTGAGCCCAAAATTTATGTTGCTAACTGAGCAATTTGTTAAATGAGTTTTGTCCTATTTTATGACTTTCTTGCCACATTTGTTAAGTGAATCACTGCAGTTGTTAAATTAGTAACACTGTTATTAAGTGAATCTGATTTCCCCATTGAATTTGCTTGTCAGAAGGTTACAAAAGGAAATCACATGACACTGCAACTGTCATATATGTGAGTCAGTTGTCAAGCATCCAAATGTAAATCATGTGACCATGGGGATGCTGCAACAGTCGTAAGTGTGAAAAATTTTCATAAGCCACATTTTTCAGTGTCGTTGTAACTTCGAAAGGTCACTAAGTGAACTTTGTAAATCGAGGATTACCTGTAAATTGCTCCCAAGGAACTAAACAGGATGCAGCATTAACAGTACGTAATTCTTTTTCCTCTAAAAACTTACAGTATTCCCAGTAATGTCTATAATTATAAACAATAGGACTGCATCAATTGGTGCAATTACTGCATGACCTAGCTCAAGGGTGTCAAACTCGTGGCCCGCAGTTCAGATGTGTCATATGCTAGCTACACCCATGCCCAGTTTAGTGAAAAGGGGGAAAGTTGCGATACGTCACGTGACGATGCCGTGATGACGCAAGTTTAAGACACCTGACCTAGTTTATCTGTTAAATAGCAGGTGGTGCTTGTTAAAAATAGGCAGAGAAATTATGCACAGGCAGATAATATATATTTCCCATCCCTAAACCTAACCTATCCCAATCTCAAGGAATGGAATCGAAGCTCTTTTCTTAGATTTCTAGCTGGAATATGCAAATTTATATAAATTACTTAGCCAGAATATGATGTGATATAAATGAGTAATAAATGGCAGGCACTAAAGGAAACTGTCAGCCCCACTAGGTAGAATAAACCAAGAAATATGGTGAAGATAAAAATTACATTTATGGTGAAAGTAAAATGTATGTTTGCTAGTGGCTATAATAACAGAGAGTTGCAAATCTGATTGCAAATACAGAATGTGTTTCCCAAAACATGTCACGCCGTTTACACTTATTTATTTGTCTTTTGGATTCTTCCCTCTTTCATTTAATTTGAGTCAAAGGAAGAATTTTCAGTTCATCTTTTGGGACAAAAATATAATTTTTTTACATTTCCCCACAAGAATTTACTTTTGGAACTGTTACAGATGGGTGAAATATGTATTGTTAGTATGATTCTACATAGATATGCTTAAAAGTTGGTCCCATTGAAATTAATGTTGTTTGGTCCCAAATACAAAGCAATATTTTTTAATGTAGTCAGCCAATACCTCTTCTTATCAAGAGAACAGTGGATGTACCATATAATATGAATAAGGTGGCTTTACCGCAAACCTATATGAATTCTGTGCATGGAAATAATATCAAAAATACAGTATCTGTGAGTTCTTACATGATCTGAATTGCAAATGCTTACTATACACACGAAAGGTAAAAGTTCCCCTCGCACATATGTGCCAGTTGTTCCTGACTCTAGTGGGTGGTGCTCATCTCCGTTTCAAAGCCAAAGAGCCAGCGCTGTCCGAAGATTTCTCCATAGTCATATGGCCGGCATGACTAAACGCTAAAGGCACATGAAAACGCTGTTACCTTCCCACCAAAGGTGGTCCCTATTTTTCTACTTGCATTTTTTACGTGCTTTTGAACTGCTAGATTGGCAGAAGCTGGGACAAGTAACGGGAACTCACCCATTACGCAGCTCTAGGGATTCAAACTGCTGAACTGCCGACCTTTCAATCGACAAGCTCAGCATCTTAGCCACTGAGCCACCACATCCCTCTCTATACACTATATACTATACACACTAGGGGCTACAAATAATTTTGTGAAATACCTTCATTACTTTAAGCAATTTGATACATTTTTAATACAAGTTTCCATTTCTAAAATTAAGTATATTTCTTATACAAGTTCTGCAAAATTACTTTATTATATAATATCTTTGTTCAGTTTTGGAAGATATTAGAAATGCAAAATGAAATTCAGAATCTATAGTGCTCAACTGTTCTCTATCCTTTTTATAGGCTAGATTGTGTCCGAACAAAACTCTGGGTTGCATTTTTTGGAGTTTTTTCAGCAGGCTTATCTGTCATCAGCAGTTTTGGATTATTGCTGCTTTATGGGGTGCCTTTTGTCATCACAGCTGCAAATTCACCATTTCTTATACTTGGTAGGTAATAAATATATATCTTCCTTTGAGCTTTTAACAGATACATATGAGCTAGAAGTTTCATCTCTCCCAATTATAGTTTTCCTTAGTTCTGATAGGTATTCTATTTCGGTAGCTCTTTCTAAGATTGGCCTAAAGTTAGTCATATATGAAATATTTTTCCCTGACATAATATAATCCCTTTTGAGCTCAACTGTATACACTTCTGTGAACATCTCAGTATGAGATGACTGTTACTCATGAATTCTATCACACTGGTGAGTTCTTATTTTTTATTTGCCTACCACAAAGTCTGACAGACTTATCTTTTTCTCATCTGTACCATTAATCCAAATTTTTCTTTGTCCTTACTTTTCACTATTGAAATAGATTTTTTTTCTTCAATATCAAATTGTATTCAGATTAGTTATATATGTTGATTGTCTTCTATTCAAATATTATATTCAAAAGAACTTTAGGACTTTCTAATACTATGCATACTCAGGTGTAATTTGCAATTTTTTAGAACTTCAGTAAAATAAAGGCAAACAGAAATAAGTGCATGAGCCAGGATAAAAAATAAATTGTATTTCATTTGTATTTAATTATATCACTTAATATAGTTATATGATTACTCTGTATATGTTTATTAATTCCAATAGTTACTTATGTCATCTCAAAAATTACAAGTCAGTGACAGCTAGAGGGAAAAACAGATGCTTCACCTAAGTCTGATCAGTACTATGCATTAATAGAACTGAGATTACATGCGCTCATCTAGTCTTTCTGATTCTTTGCAAAATATAGAACAATAATTATTTTGCCTTTATTTATGTATTGCTTTGAAAGCTAGGTATGAATAAAATTAAATACTTATTCAGTTTCTGATATTTTTCGGTTTCACACAAATGAACTGAATCTGTTTTACTATTCTCAAGTTCTGTTTCATCACATATTAATCCTGCTATTATCTTAACACCAAAATTGTTTGGAATCACAGTATCTGAGGAGCCTTGCTGCCTGTTTATACAGGTATTCCTCGACTTACAACATTGTAAGTCTTGAGAGTGTTATCTGGGAGGAGTTTTATCCTATGGTTCCCGAGGACATGGACAGGATTCTGGGACGGCTGAACGCGACCACATGTTTATTGGACCCATGTTCCTCCTGGTTGGTGCTGGCTTCCCGGAAGGTTACACGAGGCTGGCTCCAGAGGATTATTAACGCTTCCTTGAGTGAGGGTGTCCTATCAGCCACCTTGAAAGAAGCGGTGGTGAGGCCCCTCCTCAAGAATCCCTCTCTGGATCCGGCTGTTTTGGCTAACTATCGTCCAATCTCCAACCTTCATTTTATTGCGAAGGTTGTTGAGAGTGTGGTGGCGCGGCAGCTTCCACAGTACCTGGATGAAGCTGTCTATCTAGATCCGCTCCAGTCCGGCTTCAGGCCTGGGTACAGCACGGAAACGGCATTGGTTGCGTTGGTGGATGATCTCTGGAGGGCTCAGGATAGGGGTTGCTCCTCTATCCTGGTCCTGTTAGATCTCTCAGCGGCTTTTGATACCATCGACCATGGTATCATGTTGCACCGGTTGGAGGGGTTGGAAGTGGGGGGCACTGTTTTGCGGTGGTTCTCGTCCTACCTCTGACCGGTCACAATCTGTGTTGGAGGGGCAGCGGTCGACCCCAAGGCGCCTTGTTTGTGGGGTGCCGCAAGGGTCGGTCTTCTCGCCCCTTCTGTTCAACATTTATGTAAAGCCGCTGGGTGAGATCATCCGTGGCTTTGGCGTGGAGTTCCATCAGTACGCTGATGACACTCAGCTGTACATCTCCACCCCAGGCCACCCCAACGATGCCCTTGAAGTGATGTCCCGGTGCCTGGAAGCCGTGCGGGCCTGGATGGGGAGAAACAGGCTCCGACTCAACCCTTCCAAGACCGAGTGGCTGTGGCTTCCGGCGTCCCGATATAGCCAGCTGGTGCCATCGCTGATTATTGGGGGCAAATCATTGGCCCCCACAGAAAGGGTTCGCAACTTGGGCGTCCTCCTGGATACACGGTTGTCTTTAGAAGAGCATATGACGGCCGTGGCCAGGGGGGCTTTTTATCAAGTCCGCCTAATACGCCAGTTGCGTCCCTTTCTAAATCAGGACTCCCTACACACGGTCACTCAGGCACTCGTCACTTCCAGCCTGGACTACTGCAATGCTCTCTACATGGGGCTCCCCTTGGGGTGCACCCGGAGGCTCCAGTTGGTCCAGAATGCGGCCACGTGGGAGATTATGGGAGCGACGGGGCGCTCCCATGTGACACCTCTCCTGCGCGAGCTGCACTGGCTTCCTGTGGTCTTCCAGGTGTGCTTCAAGGTGTTGGTGACCACCTTTAAAGCGCTCCATGGCTTAGGGCTGGGGTATCTATGAGACCGCCTTCTGCCGCCAATAGCCTCCCACCGGCCAGTTCGCTCGTACAGAGAGGGCCTCCTCAGGGTGCCGTCGGCCAGACAATGTCGGTTGGCGACCCCCAGGGGGAGAGCCTTCTCTGTGGCTGCACCTACCCTCTGGAACAACCTACCCCCAGAGATACGCACGATACCAGACCTCCGGACTTTTCGTCGGGCCCTGAAAACACATCTATTTCATCTAGCCGGGCTGGCTTGATCCCATCCTTGCGGTTTTAATTTGTAATTGGTTTTAATCCGGGTTGTTTTAAATTGATGGCCAACATTATTTAATGTCTTTTAAACTGCTTTTAAATTTTATATGTTGTGTTTTTTTCTGTGGCTGTTCACCACCCTGAGTCCTGTTGGAGAAGGGCGGTATACAAATTAAATAAAATAAATAAATAAAAAATAAATAAATTTAGTGACTATTCAAAGTTACAATGGTACTTTAAAAAGTGACTTATGACCGTTTTTCACACTTACAACTATTGCAGCATTCCCATAGTCACATGATCAAAATTCAGACACTTGACAACTGACTCATATTTATGACAGTTGCAGTGTCCCGGAGTCATGTGATCGCCTTTTGTGACTTTCTGATGAGATAAATCAATGGGGAATCCAGATTTATTTGACAACTGTGTTACCAACTTAACTGTGATTCACTTAACAACTGTGACAAGAAAGGTCATAAAATGGAGCAAAATTCTATTAACAAATAAGTCCCTTAGTAACCAAAACTTTGGACTCAATTGTGTTGGTAAGTCAAGGACTATCTCTACTTTCCTGGCATTGATTTTGTCTGTACCACATGACAGGGCATACAAATGTGAGACAGGACCTTCCTGGGCAGGGGTTAGCAACCTGCAGCTCTGGATCCACATGCAGCTCTTTTGGGCCCTCCACTGTGGCTCCCTGTCAGGTGATCCCACCACTGGCTGGCCTTGCCCTTCCCTCCCAGTCACTCCTCACCTGGCCTCAGAAGGTAAGGATGACGGTGGGGGATGGAGAAGCAGCCAGGGCAGAGACAGAGAGATATAGAGAGAGGGGGAGAGAGAGAGACACAGAGAGGGGAGAGGGAGGAGAGAGGGAGATATGTGAAAAGGGTTTTGTGGTTCCCGGTGTTTTTTAACAACTGATTCTCTGCCCTAATGACCAGCTGGGTAGGCATGGCTAGGGGGTCATGTGACTGGTAGAAGTAAGTGACATCGAGTTGGCCATGCCCACCCAAGTTTTGTGGCTTCCGGTGTTTTCTGTGGGAAACGGGTCCAAATGTCTCTGAGTGTTTAAAGTTGCAGACCCTTGTTCTTGGGTATGAAATGTTTTCCTCCCTATAACTAGACAGCCACTCAGGTTGTTTTCTTTCTTGCACCAAGTGAAAAAACCAGCTGTTCAATTGATCTCAAACAGGTTGATATATCTCAGGATTTGTTATCTTAAAAAGATATGAGTTGCTGATTATGTTCCTTGTGTAATTTGCTCTTTTTATGTCATGTGAAAACTGACTCCTCTTTTTACCATTATCCAGGAATTGGTGTTGATGATATGTTCATCCTGGTATCCTGTTGGCAGCATACAAAAGTAAAGGATAGTGTCAAAGACCGGATGGCGAACACTTATTCAGAAGCAGCTGTATCAGTTACTATCACAACTATGACAGATGTTTTAGCTTTCTACATTGGAATTGCAACTTCCTTTCCATCAATTAGATCATTTTGTATCTATACAGGAACGGCTTTCATTTTTTGTTATATATACAATCTGACATTTCTTGGGGCTGTTCTAGCTCTAAATGGTAGAAGAGAAAAAAGTAACAGGCATTGGCTGACATTCATGAAAGTGTTTTCGGAGCCACAAGATTCCCGGGGCCCTATGTATAACCGATGTTGCACAGGAGGACTTTATGATGAAACTACTGGAACTGAGATTGAACATCCCATGAATTTTTTCTTCAGAAAGTATTATGGTCCCTTCCTTATGCACAGCTGGACTAAGGTGTTTGTGGTCTTGCTATATTTCGCATACCTAGCAACTAGTTTATTGGGATGCTTTGCACTTCAAGAGGGCATAGATCTTCGAAACGTAGCAACAGATGATTCTTACATCATTCCATACTACAACTTTGAAGATCAATATCTTTCAACATATGGTCCAAGGGTTATGGTAATAGTTACTGAAAGTATAGCGTATTGGAATGCAACTGTTCGTGTAGAACTTGAGAATTGTATGAATGTTTTAGAACATTCATACTATGTGGAAAAGAAATTTTCAGAGTCATGGCTAAGAATTTATGAAAATGTTGCTAAAAGCATGTCTCTAGATTTAAACGATCATGATGTATTCATTACAAATTTACCTGCTCTATTCAGAGTAGATCCCAATTCTCAGTGGAATATTAATATCAGTGCAAAAGAAATAGTAGCTTCGCGGTTCTATATACAGACCATAAATGTTAGAAATTCAATGGATGAGAAAAATCTTTTAAAGCAGCTAAGACATTTTGCTAAGTTCTGTAGGATACCACTAATGGTTTATCATCCAGCTTTTATACACTTTGATCAGTACCTTGTTATAAATCAGAATACCATTCAAAATGTTCTGATTGCAGCTGGGGCCATGTTAATTATTTCTTTGCTGCTGATTCCAAGTCCTGTTTGCTCTTTGTGGGTAACTTTTACTATTGGCTCTGTAATTGTAGGTGTGTCTGGTTACATGGCCTTCTGGCATGTGAATCTTGATTCCATATCTATGATCAATCTTGTTATTTGCATAGGATTTTCTGTAGACTATTCCGCTCACATATCTTATGCCTATGTTTCCAATAGTAAAACCAGTGCACGTGAAAAGGCAATAGATGCTCTTTTCCACCTGGGTTACCCAGTTGTGCAGGCATCTGCCTCCACCCTTGTAGGAATTTCTGTTCTCTCTATGGCAGCCACCTATGTCTTTAGGACTTGCTTTAAGATAATGTTTCTTGTTATTACATTTGGGACTCTTCATGGTCTCATGTTCATCCCTGTGTTTTTAACATTTATTAGTTATTGTACTTGATTTTCAAATAGGTAACAAACAAAACAATGGCCAATGCTATGGAAATTACTCATGTAATAAGAAACTTGCTTTAAATGAAAACATGGGACTGCTAACTACTTAATAGAAAAAAAAGTAAGCTAAAATTTCCCCCATTTCAGGAAGATCAAATTGCTCATAATGTTCTAATGAATTGTTGTATGTTAATCAGAAGAAATGGACAGATGAAGCCTGTTTTATAATAAGCTATTCAAGATTTATTAGAACAATTCTTATGGTGTATTTATTTAGGCATTCATGATTAATGTAAAGTGGGATCAGGATTGTTCGGATGCTGATAAAATGAAACCATTCTATTTAATGCCACATGGTGATGATTGCCACAAAGTACATGTGGAAGAATGCAATTAAGTACAGAAAGAAGCGTGGAATCGCTGGCAGTATCATGATCATAAGGCATGGCAAATCAGATTTGTAAAGAATCTGGACTCATTTGATATTGAGGTAAGGCTTCTAAATAGAGGGAGTTTATATTGTACTTTTTCTCAGTTCATATTTCATGCCCATCAGTAGTGGGAAGAGGATTAGCAGGCCATATTCTAGAAACAAAGCAAGCCTAACTTTAACGCAAATATTACTAACAGCTGCAAACTACCCATATGCTGTATTATAGTTTCCAGATAATCAAAATGTCTGGATCATCTAAAGTGAATCGATCCATTCTTTTAAATTTCTCTCTGCAGCTTATCTTGGCTGAAAGAAGCATTGTACCATATTTAGGTAATGTAACTCCAAATGAATCACAAATGGATAATTTATGGCTACAGAAATTGCAACTTGGGACTTTCAGGTGCATTTATATGTAATTCTATTGTATCCAGACTTGTTATATTATCCCAATACGTTCTCTGGACAAGATAGCTGTTAGCAATATTGGCAAGCATCATAGATTTGATTCCTTATATGTTGAAGATACTACCCTATGCAAAATAGAGCCTAATATCTATAAAATAAAATTTTACACAAATCTGAAAGCTGAGGTAAATTATTCAGAACTTCATAATAACATTCATTTTGCTATTTATTTCACTGATACCTAGATTTTCCTCCCCCTCTTTTTAAAAGTGAATATTAGTTATCTAAATGAAAATATCACTAAATTGTACTGTGGGATAAAGATTTAATTGGAGCAAAGAAATTAATCTTTAGCTGATTTTTAGCTCCCTCCCCCCAGCATTACATGTGCTGGAGGGGAGCTAAAAATCAGCTAAAGATTAATTTCTTTGCTCCAATTAATCCTACACTTCCTATTTAAATAGGATTTTGATAATGGAGGTCTGATTCTTCATTACCAAAATATTTTACACACTGTAATAATGATTCCACTTCAGTAAAAATTGCAACAGCTTTTATTAGTTTGTTATATTTGTATCTGGCTTTCTTCCGAAAGCTCAAGGCAGGTGAGAAAACTGGAGGCACAGGGGATGGGAAGAAATGAATCTTGATGCATTGTGGTTTCCATCAGATGCCTGTACACAGTAATGTTGCTTCATGTTATCCCAGCAATAGAACCTTATGATTTAGGATGCAGTAAGAGTATGATTGGTTCAAAGTCACTCTGTAAATTTCCCTGATGAAGGATGGATTTGAACTTAGATCTCTCGAGTCCTAGCTCCAAACTATAACCAGTACACTATGCTGACTATCACCATTTATCAGTATTTGTTGGCTGACAAATACAAAAGAAAAGTTAACAAGCTTATAGAGTTCTTGAACATATAGCTCATAATAAAATGGTCACACACTCACAAAATATGAGGCTTCAGCTAGATGTTACGTAGGACGAATGAGCCCTGTGGTGTCACTCAAGGATGAGCCCTAATCCGTTTCCGCTACTACATCGACAGGATTTACAGATTCAGGAAAGAAGAATCACTGAAACAACTCAAAATGCTTATCTTTTGCAGATTCCTTAATTTAAGTCAGGAATTGTTTTGCTTTATATCCCCAAAATTGGCAATTAGACTTGCAGATTTCATCCATTTTTTCCATGAAATTTTTAAAAGTTATTAACAATTACTTTAAAAAATAAAAATGGGACTGTAAAATAATTAACTTTTGCTTCCTGTAAGACAATTCAACTATACATTAAATATATCTGCAAATAAATGGCATGGACAAGAAACCTATTTCAGTTCTTTTTAGTTCATTTAGTTTATTTCAGTTTCTGGTTTATGAGCAGAGATCAGAATGCACACTTTTTTCCTCCCTCGCTGCTCAGATATTCCACCGATTGGGCTATGATCCACTGTCATTGGACTGACTGGGTGCCATTCAAACTTCCTCTACAGCCTGGTCACGTCCCTTTCTTCTGCGCATGTCCAGTCTTTTCACTCAGTCACAGGTGATTAGACTGGTGTGCTTTTGTTCTTGGCTTAAATTGTTGCAAATAGCAGAAATTTTGGTAATTTTTTTCTTCCGAGAGTTGTGGATTCAACGAGATACATTGGCGTTTCCCGGCTGGGGCGCCAGCTGCTTTCAATTAAATTTGATACTATTTAGTGCTGCGCGGCTTTGGCGGTTTCCCGGCTGGGACGCCAGCCGCTTTGACAGTTATTGGGACAGCACGAGGAAGGAGGACCTGGCAACGGTCCCAAAGCAGCCGTTTGAGCCGCGAGCGAGAAGAGGGTTATTTGGCTAGCCGGTAAGACCGCCCTCGCTCTCGCAACTCTCTGCCTTAATTGTTTAGCTTCACAAGCGGCTTCGGAGTCCCTGCATTGTAAGCAAACTCCATATATTAACAAAGCATTTTTCAACGAAGTTAACAAAAGAGGCTGCATTTGAAGCCGAGTCGGCTTGAGGTTCCGATCTCGCGCTTCTATTTGATCTGATCTTTTAGCGCCTACCCGCCTATTGCTTAGAGCGGTCAAGGGCAGCTTTTCATCTAAGTCGTTGGTGGACTATTAACAGCAATTGTGAGGAGTCATTTACAGACGCTGTCTGGCATTGTGTGACCTCCTGAAAACTACTCTCAAAGGAAAGTATAAAATTTTTGGTTATTTTAATTATTTTATAAACAATGGCAGAGGTAAATATTTCATCAGACTTAGATCAGGAGGATTCTCCTCCTAGGGTACCATCCCCTAAGCCTAATAAATCTAAGAAGGGCAGAGCCAGGACCAGGGGTATGTCTGAGCAACCTATGTCCAGGCAAGGGGACAAACCTTCCAGAGATGATTTACGCAGACATAATGCTCTTGAAAAACAGTTCAATAGAGCCAGAATGGCAGCTCAAGCTATACCTCAAAGAGAGGTTCAGGAGGTGATTTTACCTCAGACTACTGAAAAAATAATATATCCTGACATAGATGAGGAAGCAATGATTTGGCAACAGGCGGATTTGCCATCAGAAAATCAAAGTTTGTCTATGGCTGCTAAGCCTATGAATACAGAATCTCAAAACAGGGCCACAGTGGGGTCAGTTCAACAGACTTTTGTTCAGGCTAACCCTGAGGCCACATTCACTCCTATGGCCGCTGGCCTACGTGTTGGAGAAGGTCTATTACAGAGTCAGAATTTGGATTTCCAAGCTTTACTTTCACAAACATTTTCTTGCATTTTCCAAGCAGGATTGCAACAATCAGGCTTATTATCAGAACCTATACCATCAACATTTTACAATGTGTCTCAAAATAC